GCAGTTTTACAGCCGTGACAGCCCGGGTTCGCCTGTTATTTTCAGATCGATCCTTTTTTATTTGTTTGATACCTTTTTTTTTGATCCGGCAGCCCGATTACGCCCTCCCGGGCTAGGGAACCCTTTGGCCCTAAATACTAGACGGCATTGTGTGGAGCCTTGCCTGCTTGGTGCGAGTGTGAGAGTCGAAATACTAGACCCGAAAGCCTAACTCCGAAACCCTAAATCCCCAAAACCGACCAAAGGGACATCGACCTGAGGCTTTGCTCCCATCCGGGCATGGAGAAGTCTGCTCAGGTGCACAGCGGAAGTGTTGGGCTTCAGAGGGGTTTACGACTGATGATGCCGAGTTAAGAGTTTCGGGCTTCGGGCTTAATTTTTAGGGATTTGGGTAGTGTGGCATGTCGGAGCCTTGTCCATGGAATATGTCCGGTGGCAGGGCCTCAGACGGGACGTTGGTGCATTGTTCCGTGTTTTTCAGGGTGCAAAGTCCTGGTGCTTGGGCGGAATCTCGGGGGAAGGGACTGTGCCAGATCGGGGTATTCGTCGAAGTTGAAGTGACTTAGACTTGGCCTCTCTGCAGCAGCCCCACTGCAACCACATGTCGCGCCCGGCCTGCTGCCGGAAATCTGGCTCAAACAGCCATGTTCACAGTGCCAAAGAGGTCCTGTGCGATGTGTGACACTGAACTATACCAAGTGCAGTATAGTGTCCCCAAAACTTTCCCGCTACCAAAGAGGTTAGATGCCATCTGCGACAGACTTTCGCCTGGACGGCCGGCAGGGAGCCATGGTCTTGGAGGAGATTCGGCGCTCGCATGTTTAGGGCTTTAAGATTTAAGGTTTGAGGGTTTAGGGGTTGGGGTCTAAGGTTTAGGGGGCCTGGGGTGTTAAGGGTAATTATGGGGTCTAGCTAGTGCTAGCTCAGAGTTGTGGCTTATGTCTTGGGGTTGCAGAATTACTTGGATCAGGGTCGCGGGAACTCATTGGTCTGTATCCTACAATCAGGTAACAAGGCTCAGACTGTCTTGATCATTTTTCGTTTACTAAGTTGCCTGTTCCTTGAAACAAGCAATTGGCATCAAGGCGCATCCGGCATGGGATTCGAGTAGCCAGACCCGACGGAATGCTAGGTTATGTCAGTTATGTCCTCCGACTACGTATAGTACCGGGCCGGGATCCAAGCCCTCAAGACAGTAGATTATTGGATCCTAAACCCCATAAAATATAACCTTGAAGCATTGGGCTACGACTTCCTCATTTTTGGTCAGTAGGTTGTTGGATCCGAAGCCATAGCTTCAGCAGGAGCTGTTTTGAGGAATTGTGGTGAGACAGACAGTGCCGGCATATTCAACATTGGCTAACAAGAAAGGGGTTATTCTCCTGTTAAGCAGCTTTTGCAGGGTTATGTGTTTACGTGCGGTTCCGATAGTTTCTCCACAGGGCGTATTGAGAAGTGCTCGGAAGAAGGGTTTGTAGGGCTCATACTATGACTGTATACGGTTTGACAAAGACAGGGCTAAATCCAAGACCGCAAATAGTGTCGAGTTGTCAATTGTGAATCCGGCAGTGAGGTTTCTGCGTTTGAGGCATTACAGGCCCCCCTCAGTATCCGAAATTCGAGCCAGCCACGACTTCGCAGCAGAAACATCACAAGCATAGCTCTCAAGCGAAACATTAAGGCCCTGGATGCCTAAAAGCTTTGAAATCTCATAACGTGTTCGCTCCCGAAACCAATCCGCCGTACCAAAAATCTACAGCAGACCTAAAGTGGTACATCGCATATGAAAACTCCCTCTGCGTGCTCCAGAGCCTCAGAGATTCAACAACTGGGCTGTTTCGGCAGGGTGTTTTGTTTAGATTGTAGGGGTGGGTGGACTCTCAGGTATAATGTAGGGAATGAATAATACCACCCCTTAGAATGATAGTCCGAATATTTTTATGGTAAGATTATGTCCAGGAGCAGATCGATATGGCGAGGTTCGACCTAGAGGTGCTGTCCAGTGACGACTGTGCAACTGGCCTACTCCAGCAGGTCTTTAGAGTTTAATTGGAGCTTAGGGCCTAGGGGTTAGAGTTTAGGGTTTGAGGTTAGGATTTAGGCTTATGGGGCTAGAGTTCAAGCTGGGGTATCTTAAGGTGCCTACTTGGGGTTTTCCTGGGTAGTTATGAAGTCGGGGGCAAAAACTAGTGCAACTTTAGTTGTAAACTTCCTTAAAAAAATATCAGGAAACTGATTACCCCACTTCTAACCACCCAATGAACTTCCAAGTAGGGTTCGGGCATGCGTCGTTTACCATGGAGGCCTCATCGTGGTGAGAGCAGTCTTGGTCAATGACAGCCTAAACCGCACATGCTCATCCCACAAAGAGCCAGGGTTGGCGGAGATGACGGGTGGGGGTTTTCGGAAATGTCGTTTTGGGCTGAGCTTTCGGGCATGGTCTCGTCTTGTTTGGATTTCTGTATTCGACTCTTGGGCCTCTGCTGGTCGAGGGTCCGGGGCCCGAGCTTGGCTGCTTTGTCGTAAGCTCAGGGTTTTGTTAGAGTTGTTGGGCCTCAGTGCTTGAGTTAACTTGCTGTTTCAGGCTCCAAACGCTGAAGCCTTTATTGAGGAGCCTTTGCAGTGCTACTGCTCCTGACACGGTCCGAATGATGCATTCTTTAGGACTGTACCTTAAGTCTTTAGGGTACTTGAAGCAAGGACTCCACTTGCCCATCGACGCCATGTCGTCGCAACCCTAGCCCACCGATGAAATAATAACTAAAGTGCCAAATCCCGCCCCGTAAACTCGCTGATCTCCAGATATCAGACGCTGTCCTTGGTCAAGAACCCTTAAACATCGGCTTATCGGTGCTGACATGTGTCGGTACCAGTGCAGTAATTTGAGCTGCAATCGCTTGACTTGTGCTGGCACCGTAAGCTTCAAACCCTAAACCCTACATGTTTATGCTTGCGGAGGGAGGCCCATCTACATCCTGTCAGTGGTAAGTAGTTGTGATTGAAGCCTTACTTGCCGAGTGTAAATTGCGATAGTAGAAACCCTAAGCCCTCGTATGCTAGACTCGACTAGAGCCAACTTGACTTTAGTCTAGTCTAGTCTAGTCCAGAGTATACTACACTTGTCTACTCTTATACTTCCCCCCCGTCCGACTCCAATCCGCCCAGGCAGAGCACACCCTCCTCCGGGGCGGCCCGCTGCTTCCCTTGCACTCCCCCCTTTTTTCTCGGGCTAAGTGGGGTGCGGGAGGGCCGGGCAGGGTCGGTAGAGTGTAGCCTTTCCTGTTTGGGGTAGGCGCGAGGCCACTGCAGAGTCGTCGCCTGGGTTCCTGGCAGATGCCTTAGCGCTTGATAGGGTTTCGGCCCGTTGAGGGTTTCGGGCGGAGACTTTAGGAGTTCTAAGGAGCTGCTGCAAGGGGGCATGGCAACCCGAAACCCTCAATTCGCATGGCTGGAGGCAAAACTGAAAAGACCCCGGAACCTTCAATGCTAAGCTCCCCCAAACCCCTGCAACCCGAAAGAGAACCGCCAAGGAATGCCCGAGACTGCCCGGCAATAGGCCAGGCTGCGGAAGCGGCCCTGAGCAGGCCCCTTGGGGATTCCAAAAAACGGGGGGGGGGGGCTTTGAAGGGATTCGGGGCTTAGTGCATGAGTGCATGGTGACTACAGGAGGCTTTGTTACTGCATTTACTGGAAGAGTCCAAGGCAACCTCTGAGAGTTCGATAGCGGATGTGGGGAGCACAGCCCTAAAGCCTGTATGGAGACCGTCGCTTCTTTCGAGTTGCATCCGACGCACATCCTGAGCCCTGAAAGCCTCATCGTGCAACAATCAAAATCGTTTATTTCCAGGCCCTTGCAGATTATAGTGCTCAGGCAGCACGCAGACAAAGCGTGATTATATATGAAGTGGGCCTGAGGGGTTTCATATCAGAGCCGCAGCAACGAATAGCATCTTGCCCCGTAGTCCTGCACCTTGTGCCGAACACATAGTCTCCCGTCGCCCGTGGACCTGTGCAGTGAGTAGTCTAAAGTAGGCTTGTCCATAGGGTAACACACTCATTGCAGCTCTAATGCTTTGAAGGTAACGTATACTCTATGACTGCTGAACTTGTCTCACTGTCCTAATGTACCTCCTACTCGTGCTTTGCATTCTCACAAGCCTGTTGGGAGCCCTTCTGCGCTCGACAGAAAAATAGGGTAACAAAGATTAAATTATACTTCTAACCTGACCCAACAAGGTGCTAGCTACCCCTCGTGCGTCTGTTTACCCATGATCCTTAAAGCCGATAGCTTAGCTAGTTTGGGAGAGGCTTCCTCGTGCTGCGCCCCGACCAAGACTAAAGCGGTTCATGAAGTTGCAGGAGTTTAGACTCACACTAAAGCCTGGAACTTTGAACCCGCCTGCCCAATACCTGTGAATGTGCAGAGGTATCGCTTTGCCATCAAGCTGCTGTTTGCAGCACTGGGTGTGGCACTTCTGCAGCCGAGCTGCTGTCAGATGGGTTGGTTCGAAAGCTTACCAAAGATTTAGATTGACTTGCTGAAAAGAGCCTACAGGAGGCTAGCCTCAATACAGAATAGCCCACCCACAAGACCCTCATCCCTAGTCCTCCTGGCCTTGCTGTTTCAGCGGTGGGCTTGTTTTTTTTTTCCCCCCCCATCTCCTTCGCTGCTAGGCAGCGAAGCTGCCGAAACCTCCGGTGTCTAAAGGAACGCTGGGAGCTCCTCCCGGCAACCCGACCCCTCAATTTCTACCCAAATTTCGACTTCTAATCAATCTTTGTCCTCCCTCACCCTCAAAGGTTCCTAGGTAGAATGAGGGAGACCCCGTTCTAAAGGGGACGCACAGGGTCTAAATATACACCAATGTCTCCCTAATCCTAACTCCTAAAAGTTTCCTCCGAGCTTCAGTCTATACCTGCTTCGACCAGAACCCTGAACGAAGACCTCATACAAGACAGGGAGCCCAATGTGTTTCAGACTCGTCTTCCGTCCAATGAGGATGGTGTGCCTGCTGCGAGCGGACACGTTACCAGGTGCTTAGAGGGAGGTTGCACAGATTTTGCAAGCGGTCCGTCACGCGGTGTTGGAAGTGGCCTTGCGAGGGCATTTGTCGGAACTGCAGGGTCCTCTTGAGGGCTCCACATATAGGATGCAGTGCTGCAGGTTTCTGGGTTCTTAGTAACCGAGTCGCCAACCTTTCCTTTTTTTTCGGGGGCTTATGACTCAGGTGTTAAATGTGATCGCCCCAGCATAATCAGAAAGGCAAGCTTCTTGGTCTACGGTACTTAGCCCCAAGGACTTTCGGAGTATTTCTCTTATAAGATCCCCGTTACACTTACTGTATAAATTTGTATAGTGTATACCCGGTATACCCACCCAGCCCTATTGCAAAGGCCCCCTTCTTTTTTAATTCAGCTGTGAATCGTCGTAGGGCAGCCGGGCCAACGGACCGCAGACGCCAAAGCGGATGTCAATGCAGAGGCGGTGCCGTTGCTGCACACAGAGGTTCAGGGTCCAAAAGTTTGGGGTGCAGGGTTTAGGATCTGGCTACCCATAGGCCCCTAAGTAGTTCCTTGTTGGGATTACCTTATAGGATTCTAAATATAATCCCCAAAAGGAACTACTTCGGGGCCTATTGGTAGACTTGAGCCCAGTTGCAAAAAGGGTGGGTTTTGTGCTTCATGCATTTCTTTTTCCATGCGGTCATTAGTGTTAGAGCCGCGGCCGTCGAGACTCGCGGTGGGCGGGGTGGTGTTTCGCATTCAGTAAATGCCTTCATCGACGTCTTTGCATCGCTCTTTTGGAGGGCTTGTCTGCCATTGGATGTCGGACATGAGGTTTCCCGCTGACAAACACCATGTCGACTTCTTTTGCAACTCTTACAGAACGGATGTTCATCTGGGGCACTGCCCCCGAAACTCCAAATCCGAAACGCGAACCCCACAAAGTGGCCCTAAACCCTAAACCGCAGCGTTCGCTTCAGGAGTCGGTGTACTTCGAGAGCAGTGCCAGCTTCCTCGATCGGGTGCACCGAATTCAGTCCGAGGTGGGACTGACTCGCATGTTACATTCTCTTCTCTTATCTTACCTTATAGGGTTTAGGGTTTAGGGTTTAGGGTTTAATTTATAACATGTCATATATTGTATGCTTGAACTCGAAAAGCCCGAAACCCCAAGCCCAACCAAAGTGAAGCCCGAAAGACTCCCGAACCCCCGAAACCCTACCGCCGGCACAGCCTTGCAACGGAACCCTTCAAGGAACCCTGTTAAAAGAGTTCTTAGAGGAGGAAGCCTCCTAGCGTTAAACGAGTTCTTAGGGGAGCCCATTATTGAGCAGCCCATGAAATGAAGCCTTCATGGCGCGTCCGTAGCGCCCCCTAAACCCTAAACCCTAGACCTGCCCGTTATAAACCCCAAACCCTCGACCTGCCCCTTATAAACCCTAAACCCTAAACCTGCCCCTAAAAAAAACCCTAAACAAAAAACCCTAGACCTGCCCCCTAAACGCCCCGCGCGCCTGGCCGCCGGTGCAGGACTTGTCGGGTTCAGCCACACGGGCCGCTGCCCAGGTCTGTGCCTTTTTGGGGGCTTAGGGTTTAGGGAAAAGAATTTAGGGGTTTAGGGTTTAGGGCTTAGGGCTTAGGGCTTAGGGGTTTAGGGTTTAGGGTTTAGGCCCATAGGCCCCTAAGTATGTTAAGAGTCCTATAAGGTAATCCCAAAAAGGAACTACTCAGGGGCCTATGGGTAGGCTTAAGTTCGGGTTTTCAGAGGGGATTGCATGTAACTGGTCGGGTTTGAAAGGCTGAAAAGTAGTAGAGAACTATGGAGAGAGTAGTTTCCGCTCAGAACATTCAGGTCCCTTCTTCTATTTTGGTTGTACAATTGGGCTTAGGTTGAGTTTTTAGGGGTTAGGAATTTTGCGAGAGGGTGAAAAGCATTCACTGCTTCACGGGGTTTAGAGAAGGGGTTTAGGTGGGGTGGGTCCATCGGGTGCCGCGGCAGTCGGGTCGACAGGGTGTCTGATTCAAAGAGTTCAGGACCAACGGCTCTTGAGGTGACCTGGCGTGACATTGCAAGACAGTTGCAAAAGGGCTCTTGAGGTTTCTCTGTGCTTAAGGCTTAGGGGCCTGCTGTACTTCCAAAGCTGTTTTGTTTGTGTTTTTGGGCCTCTTCGGCTTGGTTGAAGGTACTTGATTCATTGCGCCGTAGATGCCTTCAAGACCTCCTGGTGCTCTGAAGAATTGGTCAATTGTCCGGGTCTACGCCTGACAGCGTAGGTTTCGGTCTTAGCGTTTAGAGCCGGTGGAAGTTCCGGTGACCGGTGGCAAGAAGCCTGGCATGGCTGAGTCTTTGCCTGAGAATGCGAGACACACTTCGTTCAGGGTTCATCCACAACTGAGATTTACCGTCGGGGTAGCCGTCTACTGTAGGTCTAGGATGGATGCATGCTCTGAGCCTTGCAGTACGGTTCCCACTACAGGGGCTCATCAAACTTGAACCTTCCACTCTGAAGCTCCAAGCCCACTCCCAAACGCTCTTAACCCTACACTCCCTGACTAGCCTACAGCCCTTGTTAATGTCATAGAGAAACCTCTATAATTAAGCCCCATAATAAGCCCCTGCAGCACCGTAGGGCATGCTCAGAGGGGCCTCAATTTTGGGAGCTCCTCATTAAATTTATAGTAGAATGGGCCCCAAAACCCTATTCTAATTATTAAGGCCCCCATATTACAACAGTACCTATGTAGTCCCGAGCCCTGTCTTCGCGAGACAGCTCCCGCGAACCTTAGTGAGACGCGCAGGTCGTCGACACGAGAGCCAAACACGAAGCCAAGAAGGCGCTTGGTGTTTGGGGCTTCAGGGTTTAGGGTTTAGGGCAATGAGGGTTTAGTGGTAAATTCGACTTGAGAGTTGTTGGTTTTGGTTATGTAGGGTTTCGGATTCATATACCCTCTTCCGGATTTAGGACCTTAGTGAGTTCAGTTAGGCTGCCTTTTTGATCGGCGCTTCCGTGAGTTTCGGGTGAGGCACACCGTGGAAGTTCCCCGACTTTTGAACTCAAAACCGCCCGAGTTTCGGGTTCGGCGTGTGGGGGCCACACAAACCTCATACCGGACGCTGCAAGCCCCAACCTGAAGAACTCCCACAGGAGACAGTCTCATCCATCTTTGTCGTGGACGATGGGCCCGAGGACTACAGTACTTTCTGCATGGGGGAGGGGGGAGGGGCATTCGTCACATGCCACGTGGCTCCTAGGCATTCTTGGTTGTGTGTGAATGTGAGCGTCAAAGGATTTGAAGCCGCCAGCGCAAACTTTTCGCTTCGAACTCTCGCCTCCCGAACCCGAAAGCACACTGCCTCTGTTGCCAGGATTCGTCGGACAACACCACCGTCACGGGCACCAATGTTGCCAAAGCACGTGTGGCCACATGGACGAACAGGTCAAGCAGTGAGGATACCAGCGCCACCACCTCGACGACCACGACTACAGCTCCTACGACGACCCAGGCACGCCGTGTCAGGGCTTCAATGACCAAGCAGACCCAGAGTCGGGATAAAATTCAATGCAAGAGTCTGCAAGAGTCGGTAGCAACGACGTCAGCACTTTCAGGTGAGATGTGCTCCGACCGAAAAGCACGCCAACCATACAGTCTAGTCTGTTCGAACCTGTTGGCACATCGGCTGCGGTTACCGCATTGTCACCGGTTTTACCACCCATGCAGCCCACAGGATGAGCCTATGAAAACTCGGGGTTTATAACTGGGTTTGGGTGAGAGGATACTCGGATTTCTACATATGGGTAGTTCTCTAAACTAGGGTCCCCTTTTAGGTCCCCAATATAGTACTATTTTAGACAATTTTAGACAACAACCCATATGATGAAGAGGCGCATAGTTGGAAGCTTTTTCAGCAGACACTTTGATGCAGCAAGGGCTCTAAGGTTCCTTCTCTCAGTGCAAATCACTGTAATATAGGGGCTTCAATAATTACCTATATACTAATTTTGGGGGTTTCTTAGTATGGATTTCTAGCGTAGTATACCCCAAAACCCTAGACTAATTAGTAAGACCCCTACATCAGCCGCGCTCCGAAGAGATTAGCGCCAAGCCCTCGGGTCTTCAACGCGCTGTTTCTGATGCTTTCGGGCTTCCTTTTTGGGGTTCCTTTGCGGTTTTAGGGTTGCGGTTTTTGTTAAGGGCTTTAGGGGAGTACATGGTTAGCCTTCAGCTTTGGCATCATCCCCACCGTACCACCGAAAAGGATGAGCGGGTACACAACTACTGGGAGTTCTATTCAAACCCAAACCCGTCCCTAAACCCTAAGCCCTTTCGGCTGATTCGAAAAGCAGGTCGTCCAGCCTACATTTACATGCACGACGCCCGTGAAGCTCGGGAAGCTGGGTGCAGACATAAATTTGACACATGCAGGGTAGGTCTGTGTAGTTCTGTGTGTGTGTGTATATATATATGTATATATATATATATTTATGTACATACATACATACATACATACATACATACATACATACATACATATGTGCCTTTGTGTGTGTGTGTGTCTGTGTGTGTGTGTCTGTCTAAATATGTTACTCCCAAGCTACGTACATGTGCCGATGCAGATAAGCAGGTGCTCATCCTTTTCCGACTATCGTTCTGTGCCTCTCTCTCTCTCTCTCTGTCTCTCTCTCTCTCTCTCTCTCTCTCTGTCTCTCACTCGTCATATTCTTGCATGCAGAAAACTTGTTTGATGCACCTGCACTTTGACAGCATCTGGCGGCGTCTCTTGCCTTACCTGTGTACTCCTGTATCCAGGTCCAGAACCATGAGTGTCATACAAAGGTAAAGCATCATCAGCGTAATTGCAATCGGAAAAGTTCTTGAGTCTGTTTCCTTCGAGTCAGCACCACGCCTAGGTTTCGGCTGTGCTTTTGCATACCGAAAGCAGCAGAGGCAGAGAGAAAGAGAGCGATGGAGGGAGCAACTTCGTACTTTCAGAACGCTTGCATGGCATGGACACCATGACCAAAATTGCCTCAACCGGTTTCGGGAGCCCCCCACTTTGAGAGCCTGGAAGTTCTCTGTGTCCCACCCTTGGCAGATTAGGAAGACGGCTGGGCTCCATGTGGGATTGAATGTTGCAGAGCTTCCAGAAATCTTTGGGTTTAGGGTTTAGGGTTTAGGGGCAGAGCTGGAGTTTTCCTGTTCTGCTCGGGCCATCCGTGATCAAAGGTTTTCCACGGCCTGTCCAGGGTTGACCGAGCCTGTGCCGCCCTGTGTGCTAAGGAATATGACAGCTGCGGATGCCAAGGGTCTGGCAATCGATGACACGACTTTCTCGCAGTGCCCCTCCTTGGCTTTGACGATGCTTGGCGCAGAGAATCGAAGCTGATGCGATGCCCCAGAGGGTTGTGTTGTAGTCTGGGGCCGAGACACATGACTATGGAGCATATCCTCACAGCATGCCAACATCGACATCCCATCATGAAACCATGCCTTTCCAGCCAAAGTCCTTGTTCACAAACCCAGCTTTGCTCAGATGACCCGGGTTTGATCAGTCTAACTCCATCCGAATGCAGGCGCTTAGAAGGCAACATGGGGTCACAATTGCAAGACTGATGCACAGGCTTGCGCTCTAGATGGATAAAGTCTGTTGCCAAGCCAGCATCATGACGTGCGGGTGTGCGTGAGTGTGTGTGTGTGTGTCTCTGCGTGTGTGTGTGTGTGTGTTTTGTGTGTGTGTGTGTTTGTGTGTGTGTGTGTGCTTGTGTGTGTGTGTGTGCGCGTGTCTTTGTGTCCTTGTTCAGTTGGAGCTTTAGCAGACATCTTTAGCACAGGATTAATGGACGGGCCAAGAACACGCCTCAGTGTAAAGTCAGAGTGAGCAGTCGGACAAGAGTGGAGGGCGCAGGAGTTCAAAACAGGTGCGAAAGAGATCTCCGAACCGCCGCCAGTTGATGCTACTTCCACAGCAAAGCAAAGCAAGATGTATGGCATCGACCCCCGATCCGGAACCCTGTGAAAGAAGAGTGGCAAGATTGGCATGAGGAAGTGGCCCAACACCCACAACCGCATCTCATCAGTGCGCCTATTCAAAGCTTGGGAGTCTTGGCGTGACCAGTGCGGCAGTACATGTAATCAATGCTCAGCATTTGCTGTGAAGAGCATTAACTAGGTGGCACTTTGGGAAACTTTAAAATTTCACTTATGGTTCCTATAGAGGTACCTATTCATAAATACTTTTCAGGGCCCCAAAACTACAACCCAGTTAACGATTTAGGAGCAACATGGGCACTGCGAAGTTGCAGTAGTTGGGGCATTGTTTGCCTCCCAGATCCACCCTTTCTGCTTGTCAGGCGCTGTGCTTTTGGTTTTGGGTTTAGGGGTGGTTGGGTGGGGTCTAGGGTTTAAGGTTAAGGATGTTTCAGGTCAGTGTAACTACTCTCTGACCTGTCGTCTCAATGCCTGGGCGAGTGAGTCTCGAAATTTTCTCGCTCAACCCATCCGTTCACGTAGTGCAGCGCAGGTTCTGACCCTGTAGGTTTCTGGTCTGAGGTTTGGGGCGCCAGTCCGTGTTTCAAGTGTTCGGGGTAATCGTAGTGACTGATATGCAGGAAGCGCAGCGACTGATATACCGAAGCGGCTAGGCCCCACGCCTCGAACCAAGTCATTGTCCGGAAAATGTGTTTCGACAGGTATGAGCCATGTTTGAGTGATGAGGTGTTGGTAAAGTTTAGACCTTGGCATTCTACATGATACACATGGAGCCGCTGTGCATTATCACAATTACCATCTCAAATGGTGCTACTATCGGAGCACCTGGATTACCTTCTTCTTCTTCTCCAGACAGCTCCGGGCCAAGAAGGCCCTGAACACAAGGATCCCTTGTGCAAGGTCTTCTGTTTCGGGGCTCCCCAGCTACTTGTCTCCGACCTTCTGAGCCTTTCGAGGACTCAAGCTGGGATGGGAAGTACGATCGCCAGGCTCGCTGGATGTGAGATATTCAGACCGGCATGGGACGGGGGCCACAGGTGTTGCAGTGTTTTCTGTTTGTCTGCTGGCCGCAAAGTTCCGGTCTTGGTTCTAAGCTCAGATCCGAACTAGAGGCTGCAGAAGGCCCAAAGCCCAAGGAGGCTACTTCGAAGACGTGGCGAACCTAAGGGGAAACGATGAGGAGCAGAGGTCAGGAATCCCTCTTCAAGCCTCAGCTGTGGCCCTGCGTCCTAAGTGTGACGTCAGGAAGCTCACTGAAGTTGCTTTGCTGTCACCTGTCGCGGTTGCTGAGACCCTTCAACCCTGAAAAGCGGCTACAACATGGCATGAGCATATGTCAATGTAGGGCCCCCTTGAGGCAATTTGGTTCGCGCTGCGCGAGTACATCTGGCCGCGGGCAAAGTTATCAGTATCATCATTCCTTCTTCGGCTAGTCCCAAGGGGCAGGTTTGGCGCTCTCGTTGGTTTTCTCTTCTGGTTTGCCTCCTCTAATGGCTAGAAACGCTATGGAAGAGCAGCTAAGCACAGGCATGAAGGGATTCGGGTAGGTTTAGGGTTTTGGGTTTAGGGTTTAGGGGTTTAGCCTTTAGGGTTTAAGACTTCCATAGCGGTTATTCATAGGCAGGTGTGTGGCTGAGATGATGAGGGTTTGGATCAAACCATAAACCCCAAAGCCTAAACCGCTAAACACTAAACATTCAGGCTTCTTGCAAGGCAAGGTTGACATGTTGATTGAAGCGTAAGGGCAGCAAGCTGAGGGTTGAAGAAGACTCGGGCCCCCTCTAAACGTGCAGGCAGTATATATGTATATACATATATACATACACACACATATACATACATATATATATATATTTCTTTTTAAATTAACGTAATTTAGTGCACGGAGATGTAATGTAGTGCTGTGTCATCTTGTGTATGCGTTGTGCTCGTCTAGCGGTTGCAATCCAGGGTAAACCTATCTTTGTCGCCGGGAGGATTGTGTGTGTCAAGGTGTGTAGCTTTGCATACATACATCCGACAGGGAGTGCTGTTGACAAGTTTGTGGTGATAAGTACTTGTAGGTGTCCGGCCTTGCCGAAAGTTTCCGAAGGTGCTTTTACAAGAAGGCCCCCCCCCCGGATGCCATCCCTGAGAACTCCCCTAAACCCTAAACCCTAAACCCCTAAACCCCTAAACCCCTAAACCCTAACACTTGCCTGCTTGTGCGAGTGTGAGAGTCGAAACCCTAACACCCTAAACCCTATAAACCCTAAAGCCCTAAACCCATAAACCCTAAACCCTAAACCCTAAGGGAGAACAACATCAAAGTGCTCTTTGGCACAATGATCTCCTGCAACGAGACCGCCGACGATGCAGATTGGGCCTATGCTGGGGCCTTAGGCAAGGGTTTAGGGTTTAGGGTTTAGGGTTTAGGAAGACAAAGGCTTTGTGAGATCCTGGCATGCGCTGCTTATGAACATGGGTTTGGGCGGTCGAGGATCATTTCGATTAACGCTTTAGAGGAGGGGGAGTTCCCAGCCTCCTTGTTCTCATGCCGAGCACTGGCGGACGAAGGATCTGCAAGGAGATCGCAGGTTGTAGAGAGCAACCGAAAGGGGATGAGCTTCGAATCAAATGTAATGAAGACCTTTTCACATCACTGCGAGGTGAAGGAGCTGATGGAGTACATCGGATGGTACTACACCATGGGCAGCTGGGCAGATCACCCAGCCGAAACGCCAACAACAGCCCTCCCAGTGTCCCGCGGACCCGAGAACTAAGAGCTTCCTGACATGGTGGGGGGGGTGTCTATCGGAGTTCAAAGTGTAGGCTGTCTTAGGAGCCACTTGTGCGCGCGTGGAGAGAAAGCCCATCCGCCTCGAGTTTGGTGGTAAATCCCTAAGGGTCCATGTACGCTAATAGTAGATACTTTGGACCCAAAGTACCCAAATAGGGACTACTTTAAGGCCAAAGTATATACTGTTTGGGTACCTGGACCCTTAGTAAATGGTCATCAGGCTCTCAACTGCGAAAGGCGTGGAGGCCAGGAAGTCTAAGGCTCCAATTCCCTAGCCCGTGCCTGCAATGCCCTTTAGGGTTTAGGGTTTAGGGCCTTGAGTGTCCAGCTTCGAAGCCCTCCCGAAAGCCACTCTTAAAGACAAGTCTGGGCCCAAAGCTTACACAGAAAGAGCTCGGACGAGACGTCGTGTTTGCGTGCCCTTGTAGTTCCACGGGCATAAACGTATGCAAGCACGTCCATTTCTAAACATTGCATTTACACACGCATCCGTCCATCCACCCATCCGCCCATCCGCCCATCCACCCATCCACCCACCCACCCACCCACCCACCCATCCATCCATCCATCCGTCGACCCATAGACATGGTCTGTTTACAGATATGCTTGTCTGTCGGTCGGTCGGTCGGTCGGTAGGTAGGTAGGTATGTGTGTGTTCTTTACAGGTAGAATGCCATTTAACAACATTACACTACACGTAACAGGCAACTCCATTGATAGAGAAGGCTGGCTCCGTTAAATCACCCAGGACTAGCGATCGGCAACGAGGTCGAGCTCATCCACAAGCATCCAGCTAGCTCTCCAGCCTGTCGCTTGGTTGAGGTTTGGGGGTTCGGGGCTGAGATGATTTGGGGGTTTCCGAAAATAGGGGACCCTAATATGGTACCCTAAATAGTAGGATCCTTGTTATAAGGACCCCAAAATAAGGTGCCCCTTGTTTTCGGAAACTCCCATTTGGCTTCTGGGATTACACCGTTTATCCGGCAAAAAACGGCCCTTAAGGACTTTGCATGTCCTGCACCTCCAACTCGAACGCCCTTGGGCTCCGAGGCAACCTCCGGCTATTCCAGGGAAAGTACTTCCAGAACAAGGTGGACGCGCGCATTCAGGAGCTCTGGGGGCTTAAGGGGGCGACTTTGGGAGGTTGGGATGTAAGGCTCAAGAGCCTTCGACCCTGTAGCTTAGAGGCTTAGTGAACGTATGTGAACCATTTAAGCCCAAAAGCCTTGTGAAGTCAAAAGGTTCACGTGACGGCGCAAAGCTCTGAACCTATCAGTCCGAAACGGCTTCAACCTGTGCCGGGTTTCTGGGCATGAGATGACGGAATATGCTGAGTCCACTGAGGCTCCATGGTTCAGAGCTCCCGTGTTGAGACTGAGTCATTGAAGGGAACCTGGGAGTTGAAGGCACGAGTGGTAAACTCAGGTCGAGTGTCTCACCGCTGGGTTTTCGTGTTATTCCCTGGCGTAGCTTTCTACCACTGCGGCGGCTGGTACCAGCACCGCCACCACCCAAAGTTTCGGACTTGTTGACTTCATTTCGAGGCTTGGGTGCAGCTTCCAGGATTTTTGACCCGTGCTGGGCCACCACGGGCTTTCTTCAGACTAGCGCTGCCTAGAGGGTTCTGTTATTAGGGTTTGCAATTTCCCAGATCTCAAGGACATGGAACAGATGGAGGGCTTCTCTTCCGTGCCTTTGACCACGGAGCCTCGGCCAAGAAGGTTTTGAATCCTCAGCCCTGGCCCCCGATCCTTGAAACATGGGCTTTCGGCTTAGCGTTTTTGGGGCCGTGATGTATAGAGTCCTGATCAACAAAATGGGCGGATTAATCAGGGGCCTACGTGTGAACTGTTAGACTGTACCCCGAAGCCCAAGAGTTGGTCGTCGGCTTCGGCATCTCGGAAGAAGATGGCGGTCTTCTTTGTAGAGAGGGCGGGTTGGAGCCGGCATAGCCAAGGGAGCTTTGAAGCAAGAGACAGTGCATGCCACTTTCCCGTCCTGAAGTGAAGGATTGGACTTTAGCAGCGGGCTTTCAGGGGACATGCCCAAGGCACCCCGCCTACCAACCTCCCAGCCTTCCAGCCTCTTAACCTCCCCAAAGTGTAGAAATGATTTGGGCGGCTTGCGCATCGATTCTTCGGCTGTGAGGCACTTGGTGAAGTAGTTCTAGCATGGGACTATGCAACCCACATAAGCAGCCGACAAGCAGCCACTCAGCCATCTGTCATGTCAGAAGGGAACAGGACACGCAGCCAGAATTCGTGGCTGGCTTGTTGTGTGAACTTCGTGTGCTTGTCCTATCCATACTTGTCATGCTGACACTTTATGGCTTTACAGCTCTGCGGCTTCTGCAACTGCATCATGGAGTATTTAGCTGATTTAGTCTTATAAGGTTCGGTTTTATGCGATACATCGTAGACCTCCCTCTTCACATGCAAGGTCATGGGAGGCTATGTTCTTTCGGGAGCACCCTTCATCAACACACCCTACGACGCTGGAGCAGCATTCAAGCGTCGAGGATTCTTTGGGGCACGAGGCTCTTGGAGGTCATTCCGGTTTGCGTCTTGCAGAGTCAGGTGTCGACTCAGCTTTGAAGTAAGGCAGTGCCGAAGAGAGAGGAGACAGATCCGAATGTGTAGCTTCGAGCAAAAAGGGCTACACTCGGCAAAGGAACGAAGGCCTCAGGCCAGGTTCAGCCACTTTTCCTCCTGCTCGTAGTTTGCCATTACCGGGCAGCCGTCTTTGCCTGAAGCCCTAAGGCCCTGAGGCGCTAGAGATTCGACCTGAAGTCCTCACTCAAGCCGGAACCCCCGAACCCCTACACCCCAAAGCATAAGTACCCCCGAGATCTGTCCTCAAATCTATACGGGAGCCTTATTAGGCGCCCGCCCCACGAACCTTGAAGGAGCTCGAACTCCGAACCCTGTAAAAATCCGAATTCTGAAGCCCCAACCGTTGCGGTCATGATTAGGCCGGTGTAGCCGACTTCTTTCGCTACGTGAGTGGACGGTACGGACGACGCTGGGCCGCTGCGGCTTTCAATGATGGAATCGTATCATAAGGATTAGACTGGGGTCAGCCGGAGGGTTCAGAGCCTAGAGCGTTCAAGGTTTCTGCTGAGTAGCTTAATTAAGCTAAATATAGGTAGTCTGTGAACTTTATCGGGGTGGATGCAATCCTACCACAACAGGCTGACTGGTTGGGGCCTGGGAGCTCAGCAATTAGGCAAGCGCCAGCACATTTCCACTGAGCAACTATTCAGAAGGTGCTCACTCTTCTATGTCTGAACTGTCTTCCTGAACTTGTGCAACTTGCTCTATGCTGTGACGCATCAAAGCTCCAAGTAAAGCGTTTCGGGGGTTTCTGTTATGTAAGTGAGCTGTCATTCTTTCTCATGCGCAAAGCCTGGTGCTCATGACCAAGCAAGCCGACAATGAGAGCAGACTCATGTTCGCAGCAATTGTGGTGCTTTGTTTTTTCTTCTGATGATGACTGGCCACAATATGCTTTTCATCAGTGTTTCTACTGATGCTAGCTATATTTGGCGGGTTGCTTATGATGAAGCTAGCTCTACACCGTTGACCTAAACCTCCTCTTTCCTCAACCCTGAACCCGTAACGGTGTCTTGCAGCGCCGGGCGATGTATCCAGAGCCTCTAAGCAACAGATGGGGGCTTGCTCAAACTAGGCGTCTGTCGCAGGGTCCCTGTCCAGTGTCTGGGAATGAGGAGCTTGAAAGACAGTACTGCAGCAATATAATAACGACGACGACCACTACTATCGGTATCATCTGCGGGTACTCATCGGAGTCTAGATTATGACTGGAGCAACTTTGGCCTAAGCCCCATGCCCTTCACTAAGACTATGCTGAAGGAAACAAACGTGCTACGCTTTGCGCGCACCGAGACCCTGAACCCCGCCCTGGACACCAACCCTGTTCCTCACAGCTGCAGGTGTACACGTGGAACGTCTATCCCTACTTCGACCCCAACGTCCAGGTCAATCCCGCCGATCCCGCAGTTGCTGGTCTGAGTGGTGCAGTGTTTGGAGGTTTCAGCGGGTTTTTTCTCTGTCATCGCTTTTATGGCACAATAAGTCAGCAGTCGGGAGGTTTTACAAGTGTTGCAGATTGATTGCAGCTGGGCCCGTTGTGAGATTATCCGCCCTAAAAGGTTGATGTTTTTGTATTTCTTGACTCCGGCAATGACCCAGTCGACAGGCGAAGGAACATCCCAGCCCTTGCAGAGCTCAGGCTCGAGGCTTTGCACCAGAGGAGCTTTGTGTTTCTTTACCGAACCCCAGCCTGCGAATCTCAAAGCGCCGACGTCGCAAGGCAGCCCCGGAGTTGCCAAACACTTTCGAACATGGAAGCCGGCCTACTTATCCATCTTTCTCCTTGGGGCTCCTTGTTGCTTTTGTAGCATAACATTTTACAGTCACCCCGGAAGAGCCCGTTCTGATTGTTAGGACCCGGACATGGGTCCATTTTGACTGGACCCAGTCATCCTGCACCGGTAGCCTTTCGGGTAAAGCCTGGTGCTGGGACATTTCTGCTGTTCTCACAGTCTACAGCATCCGATGCTTCAGGCGCAGGACGTTGAATCTTTGCCTGGCAGATCATGGATGATCATGGTTCGTTTGCTTGGGGCGGTAAATAGGGGCAAGATAAGCGCAGCTGCTGACTGCCCCACCTAGGGTTCCTAGAAAGCTGGCTGGCATCACACATGCACACGCCAAAACGCCTGAGGCTTGTGGGAAAGTGCTGTGGGCCGCGCAAAGCTTCGCTGCCGATGGCATGATCACCACTCAGCTGCGATCGTGACGCGGCACATCTAAGACCAGTGTCTCGGATTCTTGTCGCAGGGGGTTGGAGTGTGATCTCGGAGATCTCTGATTCCATGAGCCCAGTACAGAGGCCCGCATCTAGCCGAAGTCCGTCATGCGGGCCTGCCCAGCAATGAAATGACTTTGGGAAAGATACAGATCGGAAGTAGTATAGTAGGTCAGCCACAAAACGCTCTCCACGAGGAAACACCCCAAACCTCATGGCAGAGCAAACTCGAAAGCCTAAATCTGATTTTCATTTACGGGAGCTTCAGGCCTGTCGTAATGTAGAAGGTTGTTTTGGCTAAAGACTTTGTTCCTTTGCAGTTCCGCAGGGTGTTGGAGTCCTCCATTGGGCTCGACTCTTGCACCCTGACTCCCAAAGCCCTGGGATCTGGGTGCAGATTTTTGCATTTCGGCGAACTCCCCCCCCCCTTTCCACTGTAATTAATGCGACCATGAGCTGCTACACCAAGGCTGCGTGCAAGCACGCAGGCTGTCACGGGGCGCTGGGACGACCCTCGGACGTTCTAGGCTTGAAATCGCCTCTGGCCCCTTTGCGCTTGTCTGCCCCGCTAAATCCCAAAACCGAAGTCATGAGTCCCATGCCTTGAGCTTCCAAGGATGTCACCTGGCTCGGCGAGACGGGCTGGTCTTTCCCACAAGCGACTACGCCGCCTGAATGAACTGGGGGATGGAGGTCTCCCTAACGGGAGACCTCAACCCCGCATGGAGCCTCAAGCCTATATATATATATGTATATATATATATGTATATATATATATACATCTAGTTGGCTACCGGCTACCCGTAGGCTCCATAGTAGATCCTTTTTGGGAGTATCTTTTTGTATAGTTTAGAGGTTGCAGATACAGCTAAACCCGAAGCCTATAGTGTGCCTCGATGCCGCAATCCTAAGCCCAACCGCACAACCTTCACCCCGAGACTTGCAAAGCATCCTCTCCCTGTCCTAACACTGTCCTAAGGGACCTTTACAGGTGGGGGGACTTCTCTATCAGGGAGGGTCGGGAGTCGGATTTTGTTTTTTTTTTTTGGCCTTCGGCAAAATGTAGGTGCTGTGGCATTGGAAGTTTGTGGGCTCCGGGATGTTGCCTTTCGAGTCGACAGCTTGCAGTTGAGGGCTGCACAAAGAAATCAATATTAGGGATACGAAATGCCTGTGTTAGGGTTTGGGGTTGATGGTGTAGAGCCTAAAATTGTGGGTTTCGGATTCTTTGTGGCTGAGTAACTGCTCTGGTATGAAAACTTCGCAGTTGCTGTTTGCATACCCCAACCTTGCAAGGAACACAGAACGGTCATACTCGCAGCCTAAACTTCAGACCGCAAAGCCTAATAATTCCTAAAGCCTCGGACCAGGTTGCACACCCCAATGTCTGCATGTCCGGCCGCTCCCTCAGCATGAGGGGGGGGGGGGAAAAGTCTCTATGAAGCCTTGAAGTTTTCCTGGGGCCCTTCTGAAACGCCCGGAGGACTCAGAAGGGAAGGTACTTTTGCCCACCGAGCCCGAACCCAACGAGGGCCCAAGGAATGAGGGGTTAAGCTGAGGAGGAGGCCACGGAAAGGGGGTTCCTTAGGCCTTGGGGTTCTATAAGTTCCATGAGAGAACTACGGTGTCTACAGGGGCCGCGGTTTAGGGCCTAGGGGCTTGTGTATGAAATTCTTGCTTCCTTTGAAGCCGGTGCTCGGCGGAAGTCCAAGACGTTGACATTCCAAACCGTGCTAACGCTATTTGGTGTCCAGATCTGACATTGCGCGAGGCAGATCTGCCGCCTAACCCCTACAGATTTTCAAGCGTTGCTTACAGCCGAAAAAATTGGGTGGAGAAGGATTTCGCAAAGATTTGGTAACCAAGCCGGTCCCTAAACTAAGCCTTCTCAGCTTTGTAAACCAACATCTGCAAAACCTACACCATGTTCGGAACTGCAGAGCCCTTGGAGATTTCCCGGGCCTCCTTCGCGTTTCATGCCAGCATTCAGGGCTTCTCCGGGCCGGAGAACTTCCTGAAGTACTACCAGCTCCCCGACTTCTCGGGGGTTTTAAGGTTCCCAAAAAGCCTACACCGCGGGTTGGTGAAGGTCTTTTCTATAGGTTTCACAGGCGCGGGTGCAGGGCTTTCTGGCCCCTTCATGCCCCTAGAGTCCCTAGAGTCCTAGAGATTCCCACGCCCACGACTACGTCTTGATTTCCACCTCTCCAAGTTCCCAGCCATCCTAGCCTCAACAGCCGTCGAAGGACGAAAGCGATCTCAGGTGCCAGTGGGTCTATGGTAGGTACAGCTGTAGTTGTCGGTCCCTTGGAGTGTTCAGGATCTCACGGCACATCAGCAAAGTAGAGCCCTAATGCAATGATACCAAGGGGCCTCTAAAGGAAATCTAGGCTGTAATGCTACCACCCTACTTGCAGTCGGAGACCCGTTCTCAACAAGGCGGAGCTGGCAAAACACCCCGCCCTAAGCCCTACATCCGCTACTGAGGAATTTCATGAATTGGGATCTTTCGCTTGGAAAGGGAGCGCATCCCATAAACCATGCCGCCCGGCTGTTGCTAGTAGTAACTTGGGGGGACTACGGATTTGCGACATGAAGGCTTCTCCTTTTGGGGCCATGCTTATGCCATAGGCTCGGAGGCGCTTTGGTTGCGGTGTTGAGGGCTCCGAGGGCTGACAGCTTGCGGGGCCCGCTTCTCATTTGAGCACTGCATTTTTATTTGGATTCGTTCGCAGTCTTGTTACTCCTACATATCTCTCACTATGGTTGATCTTACTGCCATACAATATGGTGGCAGATCTTCAATCGGCATTTCGGTGGTTGTGGTGGCGGCTTTTGCGACCAGCTGAGCTTTTTTCCTTGCTGCAGAAACTGAATGACCCACTACGCGACAATGCCATGAGTCATGTGGATTTGGCATGACATCCGGCCACACACGATTCGCACTTTGGTTGAAGGCACTTTGGGATCCGGGTCAGGGATTCTACTGCCTCGGTCTTGCCAAGTTGGCCACAGACCAGGATGCAGAGTAGGTTTCGTGTTGGGTGGTAGACCGTAGCCGTAGGATTTAGGATGTAGTCTACAAGCACACCAGAGCTTCTAGGAGACATATTCACTCGATTCAGCTGCAACTTTTGCAGCCTTTGCAATGCCAAAACCCCAAGCGCTAAGCCCGAAGGAAATCACCCTCCACGGAGCCTTGGAAAGGTGTTCTTTTTCACCATGCGCGACTCGATCAACTGGCATATGCCGTGACCTCGGAGAGCTCTGTTGGCTCCGCACGGCTCAGGGCTGAAAACTCCTAATAATGTCGGGGCCTAAATAAAATTACCTATACTATTACTATTTTGGGGTCCTTATGAAAAGTATAGTATAATATGCCCCCAAACCCATTCTAACTAGTAAGGCCCCTATAACAACCGAACATCGCAACCTCAGAGTGGGACCATGCATGAAGTGGGTCAGGCCAGGAGTGGCGCTTAATGCATCTGGGGTTGGTTTAGGCTGGTGAGATGATGCAGGATGCATAGCGTTACGAACCTGAAGGGTTTGTTGCAACCATACCAGTCGCCTTATGCCAGAAATCTACTGTCATGGAGCCGACGGCATGCATGTACCCCAAGATCACAGAGCCCCAAGTCCGAAACCTTCAAACCTAAAGCCGTCTTCTCTCAAACTCTCGATCGCGCCGAGAATCTCCAGGTCAGAGTACTTCGGATTGGTACCGGACTGCAAGACCAACCTCTGCAAACTCCACTGACGCGTGCTGGGCTCAGGCAACGCCAAGTCTTGAAGCAAGGTTTTGCAAAGACGAGAACAGTGCGGTTTAGGGTCTCCCCGAACCCGTCTCCCAGAAAGCAGCTGGGAACGAGGGATGCAGAAGCCGAAGTAGCCCAGGCATCCGGTGCATGATGCTCCGTATTCTGGAAAACGTGGCCCTCAAAGCCTCTACCCTCGAACTGTTTTGGGACGGATTGGGGTAGCAGGGTGTAGGGCTGAATTGGGGTTTCGGGGTTTAGAGTTCACACAAGGTCAAGGGGTGGATTTCAACTTTCACTGCATTACAGATCCGAGGAGGTTTCACTTCGTCGTGCAGAGCTTACAGTTTAGTGATCGTTTCAGCCGGAAGAACGACAAAGTGGGGCAGTTGTGATCGTCCTCATCATTGTCGTCGCCGACGGAGTAGCAGCAGTAGTGGTAGCAGTGGCTGTGACAGTGGCAGTAGCAGCAGCAGCAGCAGAAGGAGGAGTGCCGGTGTGTATTGCAGCTCGACCTCTTCCTTTTCTTCTTGTTCTGGTTATTCTTGATGTCGCCGTCGTGATTTGCTGTTGCCGGTGGTGGTGGGTGGTGGCGGTGGTGGTGGTGGTGGTGGTGGTTGTGCTGCCACCGCCACTGCTGCTGCTGCTGCCGCTGCTTCTGCTATTGCTGCTTCTTCTGCTGCTGCTGCTCCTTCATTCCCTTGCTTTGCTGGCGCTTCTGCTTGCGCAGCTGCCGTCTCATGCTCGCCGCTTCCGCCGCCGCCGCTGCTGCGGTTAGTGCGACCAAGGTCGACCGAAGTCTCAAGGCTCGCCCCCTGAGAATCCGAGTCTTCGAGGAGGTGCATGCCGAATCCCAAAGCCCGGCATGGCAGCACCGCCTCCCATAGAGAGTTTGACAATGGGCTTGAGGCATTTCCTTGGCCCACCCTCTTACCGTTCCGTATTATGTTTGAAGGCCCTTTGTAAGAGCTATAAGCAATAAGAAGCAGGTACCGTCGCGACATTTGTCAGATCGGCACCGCTTTCCCGAAATCTTATGCGAAGCGCTCGGTTCTTTGGGCGTCGCACCAACGTGCAACCTGGTGGCATTCACACCTTTCTTCCAGAACTTGTTTCTGTTCCAAAATGCCCTGTCTTTCCATTCACACCGAACGTGCTGAACCCAAAACCCCGAAATTCCCCATCCCCGCTCACTCTGGCTGGGATGCCTCGATCGAGCCCTGGACCCTGAGCCCTAAGGGCAAGAGTGGGGAAATCCGTCTTTTAGTTAGGAAGATCTGCAACGATATGTCCTTGCGCGGATCCCGGCGGTTGATGGCAGAATTGCCCCAAGCATTTAGATTTAGGTATTCTACTTGTTGAGAAGGACCCCGTTGCCGCCATCACAGACTCAGCCCTCCTAGCAGCTAGCATCAACCGTCGGCTTCGAAGTCGTAGGGCCGTCTGAGTTTAGTTCAAATCGGGAGGCTCCCAAGGACTCAGGTCTTGACTTTCGGGGTTTAGGGTTCAGGGTTTTTAGGAATTTGGGTTTCAGCTCTGCAAACCAGCCGGGCATGCACAAGTCTGCGCAAAAAAGGATTTAGGGTTTAGGGTTTAGAGTCGCAATAGGCCTGGATGCAAAAGGGTTTAGAGTTCAGCTTTGGTTTGCGTATTGAGGGGGCTTGGGTTTGGGAGCTAATTGTTGGCTGTAGCTTGGCAGATGACGGTGCCTATGTCAGGGTCCCAGCCAAACCCTAAACAACCTTACGAAGTGGGCGGATGGAAGAAGTTTCCCAAAAGAGCCCAAACCAAAATCCTTAACTTTGGGATTTGATGCCGCCTTGAGGGGTGCGATGTATCGTAGGACACCGGATCGAGCTTTCGACCGCCTGACTTGCAGGATGTGGGGCCTCATTCATGTATGTATGTATGTATGTATGTATGTATGTATGTATGTATGTATGTATGTATACATGTATACATGTATACATGTATACATGTATACATGTATACATGTATAGTATATGCATATATATATAGTATATACAGTGTCTGTATATATATATATATAGAGTATACACAGTATATATATGGAGAGTATGGTCTACTTTCAAGTAGTGGCTTGGTGCAAGCTTGTTAGTGTACACCAGCACGTAGGTTCTCCGTAGTACAGAAGTCCCCAAATCCTCAAAAACCCTCAAGCGGTTGCATCGGCTGAGGGCCTCTTTTTGTGTTTATCGGGTGCATAAAAATAGACATCCTTCGTCGGAGCTGCAGTCATGGGAGACTACTCGCCAGCTTGCTTTGTCTGCAACAGTGCGACCCCATCAACTGGGCAAGTTGAGAAAGCGGTGCTTCGAAGGTTTGGTGCTTGAGGTTGGCGAGGCTTGGGATTCAGGTTTACATGGCCGAAATTCTAAACCCTATCGTGGGTTCTATAGGGTGGAGGCACTTGAAGTGTGGAGAAAGGAAGCAAGTCGCGCAGATTCAAGAGTCTGAATAGTTGGCAACTGTATCCCGCATCCCCCTAGAGTCATCATACAGCTGTAGTAATATAGCATAATGATGTCTAACATACTTCACAGCACTTTGAAAACTTTGAAGCCCCTCTATACAAGGGGGTGCAGTAAACAGGGCCCTGCATCATCTCCTATCCAAGAGCGCAAGTTGCCCATTGTCGAGTTGATGAGGGTGTCTCTCCACGAGATTAGAGAAACTTGCTGGAAAAGCACATCCGTTTCGCAATGCGGCGAGCCAGCAGCAGTTTGTGCAACACCAAAGGTCCAGATGCCTACGTAACCATTGCTTGCCCGACGAAGGGCTTGGTAGAAACGAAGACCTGCATTTTTGGCTATTGGGGGTATTGGTTGTCACTCCCGGAGTATGGCAATGCCATGCCACGTTTGGGAAAGACTCGTGCTGCGAGGGTTCACAGTCCAGGTTCTTTTCTGGTTGCCGTCAGCCTCTTCTTCTTGAACCCAGTGGTCTTTCTCTACACCGGGATTACGGCTCTAAACCCGTGTCCCCAAGCACGTAAACCCTGAGATGTCCTAGGCTACATCGTATCTGGGCTTCAGTAGCCTCATTCAGGGGTTCAGGGAGCCTGATTCGTTCCAGTTTCGGATTTCGGAGGCTCTTTGAACAAGTAACTAGCAATGGGACCGAACAAGCAGTGCATAAATTGCAATCAGATCCCACTGTTATGGCTGCGGGCTCCAAGGCTTTCGAAAGTTGCTAGGGACGGACACCAGATTCTAATGATGGATCGCGTTGTGGCTGGTATTTGAGGTTCGCTGGAGGGCCTAAACCTTCAAGCCTACAGCCCTAAACCCCTAAACTCTAAACCCTAAACCCCACCTTCTCGCACCTACGAACCTCGCCTGGCATGTCCGAGTTCTGAGAGCCTAAACCCCAATTTGTGGGGTTGTTGTAGACAGGGTAGCAGCTCATGTAAAGGACCCCTGGCCAGCGGCCTCCCAAGATCGGTTCGCAGCATGTAGAGCAAGGATCCTGAAGGGGTTTCTGACAATTCCGGGTGCCCTGTGTTTTAGGTTCCTTGTTTGTATGTGTATGTACATATATATATATATACACATATATATATATATACACACACACATATTCACGTATCTTCTTGTTTGGGGTTTCCACTAGTGGGAGAAATCATCTGGACAGAAGCGCGGATAAAGAAGGACTGCTCCGAGCAGGTTGTCTGGTGCTTGGGAAATCCCTCGGTATCTAAACCCGAAATGCCGTCTGGCCGCGCGCTCGGAAACCTGCCGTCTGGCAGGCACCCGGACCTCACATATGCATCTACCTCTAGGCCGGATCAACACTCTCCCTCTCGTGTTTTGCGAAAGGTCTGCTCGCGCCCTTGAGCCGCTCAAAGCTTGGCAGTTGATGATTTGCAGTATTTAGGGTGGCGTGTGGTCGATGCAGGACTTCTTTCGGGCAAGGGCGGCTTCGGATCTTTTCTATTCATCGTTTGCTGCGGTTTCTCGCCGCGCTGATCGCTGCAAGTTTCGTCCCGTGATCATTGCTGCGAGATGACGAAGACACACCGTTTGTCTTAAGACCCGAAGCTATGAATCATCCGTAACGTTGTAGGAAAAAAAGCTGTAAACTGAGGTCTCCAAGTCACCACCTTTTGGACTTCAGTGGCTCCAGCCCCTTTTTACAAGATGTCGAGGTTTGCCACCCCTCCGCGAAAGTAGAAGTTTCAGCCAGAAGCCTCCTGGCAGGGCCTGGGCTCAAGTCCCTGATGAGCCTCTCGCCACCCGCCGAAAGTTGAGTTCTGGACATTCGACATCTCAGTTGCAAGTGGTTTCTGGGCTGGGCGCGGGGGTCGTGGGCCGTTTGCAAAGTGGCTGCGGCAACTACTGCAGCTTAATGACTGTGGTTTTGGCTGCTTCGGCGATGGCTCGGAGTTTATGGGTCTGCGTATGGCCGTCTGGAGGGCCTGGCGACATGGAAGGCTACTGTTGCTTATGGCCCAACCAGTACTCGTACCTACGACTTATGGAGCCTTTGATCCTCTATCGGCTTTGTTAAACCGATTGAACCCTTTGATCTTAAATTGAGATGTCTTAAACCCTCTTAATCCGGTACTTAGGATTGAACCTAAAAGCCTTCGAGTCTCGGGAGACTCGAGCGTGGGACCTAGGCCGAGACCTCCCCGAAAGAGTCTTTCGAGGGCTAACGGGCAAAAGCCGGTTGGCATCTGAGGGATTTCGGGGGTTTATAAGGCCTAGGGCTATGTTAACATGCGACTATACAAGGGGGGAATCCGTCCCTGCCCCTGTCAAACGAGTCTCTCACACTGACCCGGAACCCGAGACTTGTCAACTCTAAACCCCTTCAGGCAGCAGTGCATCGCCCAGGAGCACTGGGAAGCTCAGGCTCCAGTGCTTTGGAGCCCCCGAAAACCTTCCCTAGTAGCTGATGCTTCCGTTTAAACGTGCCCTGTAAGGTACCCCCAAACCCTCATCCATTACTATTCAGGCCTCTTTATTAAACTAGGTAGTCGTACTCTTCCATACACAAAAAGTCGAACTAAAACTCCTTTAATTCTGGAAGCGCACAAAATCATATTCAATTTTTAAGGCCCCTTTGCCTCAACCCTCAAGCATAGGACTTTTCCATGATGGTTAAAGATCTACGTGGTTTAGATTCTCAGCGGTTGTTGTCTCCTCGGCTGCGTTCTGCGTGGGGTAATTGTTCACTTCTGTTTCAGGCCAGAGCATACTTTTTAAAGTATGAGAGCCTCGCTGCCTTAATTGGGCTATTTAATACCCGAGCGGAGCATGTTCCCATCCCTCCTGCGGGGATTGCAGTTTATCTCAACACCGTTTCTTAAGGCACTCATATACTCTTGACGACAAGGTAGAAGCCCTCAGTGGCCTTCTCCTAATACCGAGAGGGCAACTCGCAGGACGAGCTTCACAATACAGCGTTTATATATGGCTGACGGACAACATCCTGCAATACGTCCATCAGGTCTAGTGGAATGGAACGGGTTGTTGATAGGATATGGGGGGTGTTCCCGTCGTCAACCCCCAGATGGCAGAGGGAACACATAAGCCGTAAAAGCCTCGAGCAAAACGCTGCAGCCTGCCCAAACTCTACAGTCCAAACGCACTGCAACCCTACAACCCCAAGCACCCGAAAGCCCCGAAGCCGGAAGCCCTACAGTCGTAAAAGCCTTGGCCGAAAGCCCTTTATGGACCTCTCGAAAATACCCCTGGAAAACCTGTATGGAATGGTTTAAGAAGCCTTTTGAAACTTGTAGATAAAACTACTTAAGCTCTTCTAAAGCCGTGCAAAACTTATCAGAACCCTTGTAGAAACTTTCTAGAACCCTTATAGAACCTTTAGGAACCGTTTCCCTGCCCTTAACACTTATAGAAACCTCATAAGATCCTTAACTATGGAACCTAGAAACCCTTCACGAACCCCTTCCGAACCCTTTACTCGCCCGAAGCCCCCTAAACCCTAAACCCTAAACCCTTTACTCGCCCGAAAGCCCCAAAGCGCAAACCTGGAGGAATCCGGCGAGGCGAAAGCCGCGGCCTCCTTCCGACCGCACCTCTCAGCGCTGCTCCTGGCGCAGGCGCGTCGGGAGGGATTATAAAGGGAGCCTAGAGGTTCAGGGGTTTCAGGGTCTGAAAATCGGGTTTGAGTTTGAATTTTGTTTCGGGGCCAGGGTTTCGGGCTTTTTTGGGAATTAGGGTTTACGGGTTTCCAAGCGTTGAGGCTTGCGGGTTTACGGGAGTTGGGCTTTAGGGTGTCTAGCGTTTTCGGTATTGCGGGTTTCGGGAATAAGCATTCAAGGCCTGAGGCCATAAGGGTTCACGTTTCAGGGCACCGCCTGCCCTTTTGTGCTTTACTCCACAGACTGCTGGCGAAGCATATTTCTGTACTAGTGTTGCTATGCAGATACACCCAGCTTCAACGGCAGGCACTGGTGATCTGGTAATATGCAAATATGTATGTTTATATGTAGATGGTAACTAATATCTATGTTTACATATCACGTTGCCACACATCTGCATGATACAAAGGCTACTTGTTTCACTATGTAGCTTCTATCCTAGGGAGCACAAGACCGAGTGGCACGCGAGTCGGTTCTCCAGCGGCAGAAATCCACATAGAGGATCCGGTGATTGAGTAAGTAGGTTGTAAGTAGGACAACCGCAAACTTGGGTACTAGTAACTCTAGTTATGCTTATTAACCCTGACCCTAAACTCGCAGGCTGCTTACGCTTACCAACTCCCCGGATCCTGTAAAGAGAGCCTTGCAAACAACAAGGTATGGGATGATGAGGACCTCATGCGGCTGGCCGCGACGCTGTCCTCAATTAGGCTGGCAGTTGCTATGTCATGCGGAAGGGTTCACAGTTTTAGAGCTTAGAAGCTTTTGAGTTTCGGGATTTCAGGCCTTTAGGGTTTTAGGATTTACGGCGAGAGTTGAGGTCTCAGGTTGCCTCTTCCCCTCCTCTTGGTGGGTTCTACGAGGCATCGTTCTGTCACCCACTCTGTTCCGGGACATGTATGTAGGTATGTAGGTACGGTAGGTATGTAAGTATGTATGTACGTACAGCATGAGTGTGGAATGGTTCGGCCTCTGGAAATGTTCTGCGTTTGACTGCCGAGTTGTGTGTTATCTCGACACCTGCACCTGTCGGTCGAAGACACACGCATCGGATATGCTTGAGAATATGATGGAGGGAGCTCCTGGCGCAGGGAAGGGCCCCGGCACTGCCATGGCAGCAGATTGTAAGATGTGATGTGGTGCGGTAGAACTGTGAAACATGCGGAAGGCAACAGTGGCGTGCTCCGCCCCGAGCTCAGCAGGAGCAGGATTCGTGCCTGCTTCGGGGGTCACATTTCACTCCTCGCACTGCGAAGACGTAGCCTTGATTCGATTGCTTGCCCATAGGCCCCTAAGTAGTTCCTTTTGGGGATTATATATAGAATTCCATAAGGTAATCCCAAAAAAGGAACTACTTAGGGGCCTATGGGTGGCTTGACCGATGGAAGCTGCAGGCCCTAAGCTCGAGGCCCGAAGATCCCCAAAGCTTCCATTGCAAAGCCCCCTCCTGCTCCAAGGCCAGACTGCTCTCCCGGCCTATGATTGAAGGGAGTTTTTGGGGGCTGCGGGCCAGGCCGTTCAGAATGGGGATCTGTAGGATCGGAAGAGGGGTGAAATTGATTTGCTTGCAGCCGGAATAACTTCAAAGTCTGCGACCGCATGGACCAATCTTTCTTTGGTTCCAAGGGCTCTTGGGCAACTTGAGGTCATGGGTTTGTCTTTGACCTTCAACAAGGCTTACGTTGCATGTCAGCCGCAGGGAAGGGCCAAGTCAAGCCACGACGGATGCCAGGCACTGCAATCTCTATCTTCGTGGCGTCGGAGGACTCCGGGGGTTACCAAAGGGGCATCCGAGCATCAGAGTGAGACTTGTGGAATCTTGTGGATTTTGGGGTTTAGGGCTTCGGGTTTAGAGTTTTTTTGGGTTTAGGGTTTTAGGGTTTTAGGGTTTAGGGTTTTAGGGTGAGCCCGCTTCGGATCTTGAATGAAGCGTCCCGCGGCCTTCGCTGCAGGAGCCACTTGAACCCTGAAACCAGAAAGACTTTCTTGAAGACGCCTGTTCTAGTTGTGAGCCGCTCTTGGCAGTTGCAAGGGAACAACAGCACAACTTGACACCACCTCTACTTTCTTTACGACTTTATATGAAATGTATCACGTTTACTGGCCATCTGCATCTGGCTCGCAAACCCCGAAGCAGCCGCCGGAAGAAGCGTGATGCAATCCCGTCAAAAAGGACCTCCGGGAGCAGACCAACAAGCTGCTTTCGGACTTTAAGGAGGCGTCCGGCTCCGGTTTGGATTGGGAGCTGCCGAACGGGGGGTTTCATATTAAGGCTTCGAGCTAAGGCTTAGGATTGCGATGCTCCTGCTTCTGGCATTTGGGGAGTGGTGCTGGAAAAACTCGATCCTTGAACGTTCGGAACAGGTGACATCTGCCTCGAGGCCACATCGTGTTCGGGATGCTTAGTCGCTTAGTCGCGCCATGTTGGAGATACCTCAGCAAGATCTGTGAGCATTCTGCGGGAGTGTCCCCTGTAAGTCCAGAGCGCTAGTAGAGAACTTTAAAGCCCTCTAAATAATTGCCCTAAGGGTCCATGTACCTGTGTAGTATGCACCGAGGCAGCTAAGGGGTTCCCTTTTTGTTGCAGCCAGGCCGCCTGAAAGAAGCTTTGAGCCCCTAAACTCTCAAAGTGCGACTAGCTTAGGCACTTAATTTTGGTCCATCCGCAGCTCTCGGCTCACAGGGCGCATCCTCTGTCAAGGCTCGTAGGCAAGCCGTTGGCCGACCGGGATGTATGCACCAGCCAAGCAAGTGATGCTTCCGGGCGTGCAGGCTGGCCCAGCCAGGGTTTGGGGGTTGGGATGTGGGAGTAGGAGCACAAGGTTCACCATCCGATCATAGCACCTCGTCTGGTTTGGGTGTCGGTTGTAACCGTCTCACCCTTCCAAGCTCCATCTCCGCCTTGTTGCAGGAACCTGAAGACTTGTCAGCAACCGAAAAGGGTGGTGTCCGGTGTCCGGCAGCATTTGCATCAGCAGCAGTAGTCTTCAAACCCTTAACCTCGTTGTATCACCCTTGCATCTCAAGGCTCATGTCGACCCCGAGGCCTCACGCCGACAAGCTTGAAGCCGCAACCTCGTGTGATACGGTAGAGCAACTATCGTTTCCATTCTCCGTTAGCATTGGCTTTTAGACCTGTTGTCTAATGGGAACTCCTTGAAGGACCGCGCCCTGGTCCGTTAGTGACCCAGAAGCCCTGGCCACTTGCAACGTACGACAACTCTAGGACCATAAATGAAAGCCCAAGCCACCAACCTTGGCCTAAAGTCCCGCGGACTCAAGTCACGAGGCAAAATGCGTCCGCCGCGAGACGTCCTCGCCACGGAAAAGTGAGGCCGAGAGCTGCTCCTGCCCGGAAGAGGCCACAGGGCCGGAGGGGAAGGAGGTCACAGGTTGCCAGACACAAAGCCAAAGGATGTAACCACAGGGGACGTGAACGGAGGGATGCTTATATATATATATATATTTATATGTGTATATATATATATAGAGAGAGAGAGAGAGAGAGAGAGAGAGAGAGAGAGAGAGACAGAGAGAGAGAGGCAGGCCTTTCACCTTTCTTGGATTGCGACGACCTGCATGTCTTCATCCGCACCTTTCCGAAAGCAGCCCTCATAATATACGGGCCTTAATTTTAGGGGCTATTTGTGGGCTCCTTTTTATAATAACAGCATAATACAATATACCCCAAAACCCTATTCTATTTTTTAAGGCCCCCTACATTAGAGGATCCCAGGCTTCTGGAGCCTTGGGGTTCGGCCTTGGCAGAGAGAGGTGGGAGCACCCGCTTGTCGCGGTCGCCGTCGCATGTGCACCGCGACGTTGCTTTCCAAGGAGCGAGGTCTGAGATTTCGGCTGTGCCTTGCAACCACCCTCCGCCCTAAACCCTAAACCTTGGAGTCTGACATAGCTGGGACCCGTGCCTGCATGGTGCGAGTGTGCGACTCGAAACCTCGTTCCAATCTTGTGCTGAAGCTCCGGGTGACCACCCGCGTCAGAATCGCCGGAAACGGGAACTCTGCTCAGCAACATCCGGTGAGATCCAGCTTTACCTCCCCTAAACCCTAGGTTCCAAAATCCTCACCCTGAATCCGTTAGGCTTCGATTGCGAAGCAGGCTGAAGGAGGCAACCTTCTCGGTCATACACTCCTCTGAATCCCACGATTCTCCTAGACCTGAATGCCACATTCAACACAATTATTGGGTGGGAAGTCAGGATACCTCGCAAGTTCCATCGATGTTGCATCAGTGAATCGAAGCCAGCCAAGGCTCCAAAACAGCCTAAATTCCAGAAGTACCACCAAAAAGGAGTCATAAAGGGGTTGACAGCCCATGCAAGTCCTTAAATTCAAACCCCAAACCCCGAAGCACCAAACTCCAAAAGCAGACAGCACCATCGGAGCCCGAAACCCTCGATCTCCCCAGGAGCTGGTCGGGAAGGAGGTCCTTCTGTACGTGGGCAGGAATGGGGGCCGTGCCCCTACCAAGGTCGGATGGAGTCTAGTATACTATATTATGTTATATAAGATAGTATAGTGTACTGTGGCACTCTATCCTCTTCTAACATAGGGTTCTGATTCAGGTGTCCGAGGTCAAAAAGGGCTCTGCTGTCCGGAAGTTGGAGGTCTGAGGCTTTGGGGCCTCTTGGGGGCTCGTACAGGGGGGGGGGGGGTAGGAAGAGGCTCCTTGGGGGCTCTACAAGGGTTCAGGTGATTTCAGAGTTATGTTTAGGGTTTAGGGTTTTAGGGTTTAGGGTTTAGGGTTTAGGGTTTTAGGGTTTAGGGTGAGTTGGAGCGCGATGTATACTTGAAAGTCCGTCTGCAGCCCTGGCAGGTGGAACCAGCACGGGTGGTTGCGGCAGCGGATGCTGGCCGGGCGGTGACCCTGAAGTTGCCAGGGCCCAAGCAAACATGGCCGTAACGATAAAAAAGAGATCAGTGCTGTGGCTTGTAGGATCTTCTATGGTTGCGGTCGCTGCCACCACTGTTTGGCAAATGTTCGACTTTCGGGTTGCGCTCGAATTCATCATAGTGCATCACACGGTAAACTGGTAAGAAGACGAGTTGTTAAGGCTCGAAACCCAAATTCTACCAAGGCCAGCTCTCCCTCAGTTTCAGTTGCCTTTGCGCGTGGCCGCCTACCTCTTCAAGAAGGGTGCTCCCCCAGAGGAGGCGGCAGCTGGTAAGGTTGATATCAATAAGGTTTGGTCGGTTTTTTTTTATATACCGTTTCCATCATTGGTTCAACCGAAAAGGGACTTTTACATGCTGCAGCTACTGAGATGTCATGAGTCGCAAAGTTCTGATGGCCGAAACCGATGAACCAGGCCATTATGCAAGCCTGCTAATCATCCCAAATCCGAAAAACCCTATAAATCCTAAACCTAGTCCCAAACCAAACGTCCCCCTGAATAAGACTTTGTGGAGATTACGAGCCAGGTCGCAGCGGCCCCTGAAGGGGTCATAGCCTCTTTGGCAAGGAAGCCCTTTGCCAGAGATTAGATCATAATGACCGCTTTTGGGGGTTTGAGGTGTTCCTTTGTGTTTGTTTGCGTGTCTCCGTTTTTATGCGGGGCTCCGGGAAGGGTGGGTGACTAAGGATGTTCAGTGTTCAGACTGTTCGTGCTGGTTCCTGTTTTTTGCATGTAGTTGACGATTTTAAGTGTGAAACGTCTGGATGGCTTGAGCTATCCTTTTGTGGTGCACTGAATGCGGTCTTGGCTCATTTTTTTTACCACGTCTTCTCATGCTGCTACATGGGGTTTATTCGTCGTACAACTGCTATGTCCTGCTGCTGTCGTATCACTACATGGCACGCTCATGTGGACGATTATGTACACACACACACACAACTTGCAACAGTTACCTCGACTCGGCATTGAAGACATTTCAGATGAATGGGCGGTGCATGTGAAGTCCTTGTAATAGTTTCGGTAGTCCCACTTCTCGCATGTCGTTGCAATTGTAGAAACACGCACATAGCGAAATCGCTGAGTCTTGTGTCACGGCTGACAGGTGACTGAGTCCGTGAGAAAGAGAGAGAGAGAGAGAGAGAGTTGACAATTTTCGTTTCCTCAGCACGTGGATTCAACGTGGCGTTCGCCTTAAGCCTGAAACAACTTGAAACACTAGTCGCTATGCATGCCGTCATGCTGACATTTGCAGAACTAGTGAGTCACTTACGTAGTTTAGATGCCTCTTGAACTGGTAGTATCAGTCCTGTACAAACACCCCTTATACGTTGTCTAGGCCCTAGTAACCTAAACCCTGAGTACATAGAGCCCAAGTCAGAGATGCCCAGGTACCAGCAGGCCACTCTGGCGAAGTTGCGGATTGCACCTGTCTAAGGTTTCGGATTTATGAGGTTGGGGATTCAGGGTTTCAGGTTAAGGATTTGGGCTTTTGGGGTTTATGGTTTGGGTGTATACGAGTTAATAAGGTTAGTGTGGCTAATTGTAAAATCTGGATTCTGCGGCTTTCTAGTTTCAGGACGCGGACGACGGGCCAGGGGTTGACAGTTCCGGATGCGACGCTTCGAACCGTAAAGTACGAGAGCTGCGGGCCACCGTGGAACGGACCCATGTGCCACAAGCTCCAACAAACCCTAACTAAACCCAAGCTCTTGCAGCTCGTCCAGGCTATGTCCAGGATGTCGCGCAGGCAGGGTGCCAGTTTAGGTTATGAGTTATGGGGTTTCACGGCTCCTGGGTCCCGGCATGGAGATTGGAGGTATGGCTGGTGCCCCGTCTGCCTCGAAGACCTCATGGGCCTGGAGGAGCTTGTTGAGGCTGTTTGTCGACGATGTTTGGGCTTTTTCCTGGTTTCGAGCCATTCAGGGCAACCTTGAGGTTCAATGCTATTGCAGGACCCGTTTGGCAAGACAGTGTAGGACAGAAGGTGAAGGACTCCAGCCGGCACACAGCCCGGGCACACGGCAAGAAGCACGCAAAATGCAGCAGCAGCAGCATCCCGTCCGGCTTTTGTAGATTAGCAGTCCGCTACCACTGGGTGCTTAGAGGACATGCTCTTTCGCCGCGAGACTGTGGTGCTGATTCCGTGCAGCCACCTCGTTCACGAGGAGCGGGTTCTCAGGGACCTTGTGCAGTTGATGATGAAAAAGCCCGAGTACTTGGCCATGTTACCCACTTGCAGTTTCTCTATATATACAAATACTTGATGCATACCAATCCCCAAAATCCCGTTGCATGGTTGACACGCCTCTGTTAGACGAATTTTCCGCATGTGGTTCGCAATTTTGCTGCAGCGCTCCCACGATGACTGTCACCTGGTTTGTTCTAGAAACTGGGCCGGGTGTGTGGTCCTTAGTATAATAGCGCTTTCACAGGGCCGCATTTTTCTAGGCCGAGGAGTTTAAAATCACCAGGACTACCTTTGTGATTCTCGTGACAAGTGCAGCATCGACATTTGGAGCCAGTGAAGGACTGCTTGGAGAAGTTCAGCTGTACCCGAAGCTATCGTGCCTGTCCTGAGTGCAGCCGCCCCGTGCAAGCCACAGTGTCCGTTTGAGTAAGAGATAAGGGTGTAATGGAGGTTATGCCCTATAGAATCTGCAGGGGTTAGTGCTTCAGAGCTTTGATGCGCACAGCGGGTCTCTACGCCAAGCAGCTTCCAGTGTTCGACCATGGCACGATCGGCGCAACACCTGATGTTGCACCGTTTTGGACCAACAATCACAGTAGCTAGGAGCGATTTCTTCGCACACTTCTGCATTGCAACTTTTGTTTCAACCGCGCTCCTTTGCCCAACGCAGTCGTTCATGTACAGAGGCTCTCTGCGCCTTTGCTTTCTTTTACACTCCTTTACAGTTTGAAGAAAGTGCAGCGTCTTGTGTTTTAGTTTGCCCTCAACCCTGAAGTCAACAGTTCGTTTCTGGCATTCTAGGTGCTGGACAACTATACGTCGGTGGACGGCAAAGGTCCACAAACTCCCTGAAAGCCCAAACTCTTGCCCGAGAACCCCTAGCTAAACTTCTCATCTACTTCTCTCCTCACCCTGTGCCTTTGGCAAAGACAGAGAGCTCCATAGGCTGCCGCAACGGTGCCGTGTACAGCTGCCAAAGATGGCACGTTCCGCCAAGGAAGACCAGAGGATGCCAGAAGGGGGGTTGAAACAACAGCCTTCCATGGCCTTCTATCGAAGAGGATCTCTTGAAAGACAGGCGTCCAAAACACACCACACGAGCTTTGCACAGACCCTCTATGACAATAGAATTTTTGATTTCGTTTTGAGCCTCAAAGGCTTTAGCCATGGCTTTCAAGGGGCCCTCTTTCGAGCCTTTGAATGTCTCTCGAGCTTGCCCGGTCAGCGAGGTCGGCAGCTGAGCTTATTGCCACTCCAGCTTGCATTTCTGGGCACGATTCAACAGAGTCCGAGTGGAGCAGCAGACCTGGTTGAAAACCAAAAAATCAAAAATCTTCGATTTAAAGCTGTCCTCCAATCCAAGCTTACATGCGGAGTGCTTAGGCTTGGGCGCATGTCGGAGGACGTGACGACCGTGTAAACTGGAAAGCCACGATAGAAAGTACTGCAACACATGTGGAACATAGCTCTACTGAACTCGGCCATCCCCTTATGCTTAGTCCTGTTATGCAAATTGCATTACAGTAAGTATACTCCATGAAAATTCTTGTTGAGATGGTTCACGCTCTATTAAGCCTTCGTATAGAGTCCTCTTCAAAGTCGTATTTATTTAAGATGACGAAGAGTCGATGAAACCTTGGCAAGATCCTCTTCTAGGACGTCTGTCAGGCCATTGAGGCACCTGGCCCGCGGTTGGCCTTCAGCGAGGGCCTCGCCAAGGCGGTCCTTTGCCAGGCCCTCCTGTTGCCCCGGGGGCGCGGGGGGGGGGGGGGGGGTGGTGGGCTTTGGGATTTGTTTGGGGTTTCAGGGCTTTTCAGGCGCTTCGCCATGTTCAGGAAGTTTGGGGAGTCCGGGGTGCAGCTTTGATGTTTGTGCAGCGAGCGCATTGAGGGCTCGAGCGCCTGGGTTGGTGGGAAAGCGAGTGTCGGTATTGGGTTGCGGCACTCTGGCTGGTTGGACGAACGGTGGATGTGGTCGATGCCGTAAACGCCACGGCTCGCAAACTTACTTGTGGGCTGCGGCTTCGTGGGGGCCAGGCGACTGTGAGGTAATGAGCTGAGCGGTTGGCCATGTCGTTGGATGCATGTTGTCCCTTGACATACACATACAGACGATCTAGTGGCCTAGCATAGTGCGCACGGTGCAGCATAAGAGTACGACATCTCATCCGGTTACGACTCTGAGCCAGGTTTTCGTGGTCGAGCTTGATTGCCCGGCGTGCGAGGGCGAGCAGCTGCGGCATCTGCCTGGGTCTTTCCGCAGGGCTTGCAAGTGAGGCAGGCCGGTGTGGCTTGGAATAGTGCTTTGGAATCCTGGCTGAGCCATAGACAGGGCGTGTCTTTTCGAACAGATGTACTCAGACCATGGTGCTGTTCAACAAGTGGGCCGGAATCGAAATGAATCGGGTTCAACTTTTGAACGCAGCATTCAAACGGCTTGGAGCTGTCACCGCAAAGCCAGACTATGACGCTGAGGCTGCAGGTTGTGCCGGAGGGAGATAACAGCCCGCGGCTTACATTTGCATTCTCATTTCTGCAAGTTCTTGTGCTTCCGTGTGGTGGTGCTGAGTGGCGCATACAAGGCGCATGAGGCCCAGGCCTTCTTGATGCTGTTTTCTCCGAGTCTCCATTGTCCAAGAACATGCAGAGGCTCCAGGAAAATGGGCTTGTCCGTTTCACATCATTCAGGCTGGATCCTTTTTTCCTCTCCTGGCGGAATTTGGCACCCAGGGTTCGAGACTGAGAGTGGTTTCTGGCAGAGTGCCATGCTGCCTTTGCTCTTGGTTTTCATCGCATGCAGTGGCGCCAAGCGACTTTGACTGAGAATCCGGCTTGTGCAAGCCGAAAGCTAAGGCGAAGTGGCTTCTTCCGGAATTTCACCCGCCAGGCTTGGACGGGACTGCCTGTTTATGGAACCTAGGAGAGGAGGCACGCATTGCTCGTGAGTGAGCAAATCAGAAGTGGACGACCCTGAATTTTGCAGCCATGACCTGTGCAGCCAAGCCGTTTTGTGCCAGACAACGGCGGTGGTTGTCCGCAGTTGCCGACCTTGTTCCATTCTGCGAATTGCGGCAGAGGCCATGCAGTCATTGCAAATTGTGCGATTCCCCTCTAGGTCAATCCGCAGCTATTCTTCGGAGTTGTACTGTACTTGTACTAATGATTGGTCCTGTAATGATTATATTCTAATGTTTTGCATCACTTGCTCTTTCAGTACAAGGGTGCTCTCCACCAAAGTTCGTGGATTGCCCCATGTACAGGTTCGCTGGCGAGCAGATTTGTGGCAAGTGAGCTCTCATGGCCGCGTTAGATCCTCTGTCGGCGTAGTGTCCCTTGGAAATGCTTGTGGAGCGTATCGGCAGGTCCAGATTGGAGGGCAGAAGTTTTACGTGCACCGCTTGGTTGCCCGAGCATTTCTCGAGCTGCCATCGGGCGCTGGTCCGTACCAAGTGAATCACATAGATGGAGACAGCAACAACAACTGTGTCCACAATTTGCAGTATGTGACTCCTCAGGAAAACGTTCGGCACTCCTACATCACCAGCCCTGATCGTGGTGCCAAACGTGGCAAACCAGTCTTCTGGCGAGAGTGCGGAGCAACTGAGTGGAACATGTGCTCGAGTCAGGCCGCGGCCTCTCGGCTGCTAGGGATGCGAGGCGCCGCAGTATCAAAATGCTGTCGTGGCATTATGAAGCGAAGCAGAAGCAAAGAGAATGGGGCTTGGTTTGAGTTTGAGTGCGCTGCGCCGAAGCGGCCCTCTTGGCAAGTTGATGAGGCATGGCAGCCTGCAAGGTATCCCGGTGAAAGTGCAGCGTTTCCAGGTATCATGGTAAGCAGCCACGGACGGCTGTTCTGGTGTTCTTCTACGCTAACTGGTGTTACACACGGGACTCGCGCGAGCAATGGATACTACAGCTTCCAGGCGCAAGGCCGTGCGCGCTTGGTGCACCGTTCGGTGGCCGCAACATTTCTGGGGCAGCCTGAGTCACCGAACCTGCAAGTCAACCACAAGGACAGAGACCGCAGAAACAACCATGTGAACAATCTGGAGTATGTGACTGCATCCCAGAATATACGGCATAGCTTCAAGCACATGACTGCGGATAGAAGAAGGGGCAAGCCAGTTCTAGCCAAACTCGTGGCATCCGAGGGCGTGTGGACACGCTGCGAGTCTATTGCCGCTGCTGCAGAGCACACTGGATTGTCAAGACGGGCGATCTCTAGAGCCTGCCACAGCGTAGGCCCAGGCAGGGAGAATGGTTTGTGGAGTTTCAAATTTGCAGCGGACGAACACCAGACTGGCGAGGAGTGGCGTTTTGTGGTACTGGACGGCGCGCGCGGCCAAAAACACACGTTTAACAGGGTTTTGCGGCCGACCTCGACAACCAGAATTTCGATCAGACCGATCGGTCCGAGTACCCTCAGCATCAATGCGTGAGAAGTGGCATGGACCCGAGTCTATGCAGGCTTTCATTACAGCTGTCGACCTGGGAAGCCAACGTGCTCGCCCTGACGGTCTTTGAACACTTTCCATGCTTATGACCTGCGCAACGCGTGGTCGTGCTCCAAAACCTGCAGCTTGAGCTTGTCAGTCGCACGCGCTGTATCATGTAAGACCATCCCATCTAAGGCCTAAGCTCTCGAGAGAGGTAGCAGGGTCACCATGTTTGTGCAACGATGCTGCCACAGGTCCCTGGGAAGCGGAAGTGCAACTCCACAGTGGCACCGCTCATTGTGCGACCTGTGCAGGCCAGTCATATCCTTACTCGACTCGCCTGCACGATCCCGTCTTGAAGTTGTGTGCACCTCACGGAGCCTGCGAATGCATGGGCCAGAGCTGGAAATATAGTGGAGGACCTAGATATCACAGCTTCCGGAGCACTCGAACCTTTTGAAGCCATGCCCTACTTCTTACCAAACGTCTCAAGACTTGAAAAGCACACCCTCAACGACTTCACGCATTTCGGGCCTCATGCTAGAACCGATGCTCGGAACAGAAGCAGTACTCGCACCCTGGTTCCGAGTGTGCCGGAGCCTTGAGCATGCATCACCACACCTGTAATGACCGGAGTGCAGCATCGACCGGCCAGGCCGTCCCGCTCCTGCGATCTGCCGTCGAAGTGAACAGGCTCTCTCTCATTCGCGAAGGGTGATGCCTGGCTTTCTGAGCGACACATGTGGCGCCCAAGTCGAGGATTCAATGCAAGCATTTTGCCACATGTCTCCTGAGGGCGGTGTTGGAAACTCGGGAACTCGGTTTGGACACTGTGGCTGGCATCTTTAAAATGTGCTGGAGGCGTCTTCAGCTGCCTGATGGCGACGTGGAAGTCATGGAGGAGGTGCTACGATTGAATCGTAGGTCGAATGAGCGCTGGTCTGACCTCGGGCGGTTCAGATCTTCTTGCCCTAATCCTAGGACACCAGTG